GTTGGTAGGGGTTTGGAGACAAGAAAGAGGATTCTTCGATCATTTCCTGCGAAGAAATTCTTGGTTGTGGCTGAGGTTCTGGTTCTGAAGTGTTCACTTTTGTTGTTGGAGATGTTTCTCGTATGCAGTGATGAGTTCTTTGTTTGGCTGGTGAACCACGAGGTGTACTAACTCCGTCTGAAAGTCCTCTTGGGCACCTTACTGGACATCACTTGGTGACTATACCGCATACCATAAGAGAAGAAAGAAAGAAAGAAAAATAAAAAAAAATTATAAAAAAATAAACAAAAGATATCAAACAGCAAATATCAACTACTCTGAAGTACACATGAAATGTATTCAATGAAAAATCAGAGAGATTCCGCTGAAAAATAAGCAAATACTGAGAGACCAGTTGAGAGCACAACCTTCCAATTAGCTGATCCACTTCCTTCTCGTCTTTATAAAAAAAAATTTTAATTTTCTATGTGCGCCAACGTTTCACTAAGCAGTACTTGAACACCCTCAGTGCTCAAACCACACCCTGAAGATGACCCACATGTTTGGGTTAAAACGTTGGCACATATAAAAAATTAAAAATTTTTTTTAAAAAAGACTACGTCCTGGATATTTATCACCCATGATATGTAGAACAGTCGACTAGCTTCCTTCAATTATTCTTATTTCGATTCACAGAAAAGGTCCAAGGACAGATTGTAATAACTATCGAGGAATTTCACTCCTCCCACTATGTTATGAAATATTCACTTTAATCTTAACTAATCTTATCACGGAATACGCTAAGGAAATTATCGGAGACCACTAATGTGGATTTAGACAGAACCGTTCAACTATTGAAAAAATATTTTCTTTATGAAAAGTATCGGAGAATAAATTAGAGTACAATGGTGTTGTTCATCAGCTGTATGTCAATATGCGGATTATCTAGTCCTGTTAAGCGAAGATACGGAAACTATAAAACTTAATACAACAGTAATGAAAGCCGATGAAGAACTAGGGCTCGAAATAAACACGGATAAGACAAAATATAGGGTTAGCTGCAAAAATAGGGGTTATTCCAGTGATATTTTGTCTACATTCGAGGAATTGCTGTGTTATATATGTGTGTGAAGTTGTAATGAGTTCCTGGCGTTTGGGAATTTAAAGAGAAAAAGAAGAATTTTTTTTTTCGTGTGGAAATGTTTATTGTGCTATGTATATTGTTTAATATGGTTTTATTGTTGATAACTTTTAAGAGTATTGTTATGAAAGGGAAGAAGAAAAAAAAGAAAGGAAAGATATGTCATATACATACATAGAAAAATATAATATAAAATTAATGTCCGTATGGATTGATAAGTATGCTGTGTATGAAGCAACCCTATGTAGTAGGGCAGCATTACTTTTAATAAAGTATTTCTCTCTATAGAAGGTAATATATTTAAGCACGTGGAGAAGTTTAAGTATATAGGGTCTACGATAACTAGAAAAAAAAAACGAAATTGAAGGGGAGATTAAGGTTAGACAGTTATTAAATACTTGTTATTTTTTTGTGTCAAAATTACTTAGCTCACACTTCTTGTCTCGGAACTTAAAAATTAGAATCTATAAAACCATTTACACGGTGGGCCAGACTTTAAGGTAGGTTGTAGTGAAATACATCAAGAAAGGAAAATAGCTCTCTATTTGCTTAGTGCCTCACTTTAGATTGTGCTAATATCTACTAGTCTTTCACAAAAGCTCATTTTCCTTTCAGATTCCTTCAAAAATCTTTTGCAAATGCACTAAACAGAAGGAGGGCTATTTCTCTTTCTCGATAGATCTCTCTGTAACCTGCTTCAAAGTGAAGATATTTCTAATGTGCAACTTCAGTAGCAATTGAAAACAGAGTGGTTTTCACCATAATAAACCTCATTTACTTCGTCCAGACAACAGCTGACTTGCCAATTACTTTGAACAAAGTAGCTGCGATTCTGTGATTCTTGAGTAGTTTCTTAGGTACACTAAACAGGAATGAATCTCGATAAATATTACATTTACTCTCAAATATTACATCTCCTTTCTTATAAAGGAACACAACTACAGTTCTTTCATGTCATTTTCTAATTCATTTATTGCCTATGTACGCACAAAAAATTGCAAAGCAGTTCAGTTTACTTCGTCCAGACCACAGCTGACTTGCCAATTACTTCGAACAAATCTTTCTTGCTAATAAGATGGTCTTTTGATTAATAATTAAATTTTTTTTTACAATTAATTAATTGTATTAATATTTGTTCGTAAATATAATCAATCTAATGTACCAGAACCATTATTATAGAACTATAACTAAGCCGTTTATGAGTACTGAATGGTGTGGTAGAGGCATGTAGGTACCCACGCCAGTACCGCTTTTCTTCCGCTTAAGTGCATTTTCTACGGAACTGCTTCAAATATTTTAAAAAGTAATCAGTGATTTAGAAAGAGAAATATATACCTCTTTATATAGAATATATAGATGTGTTATTTCAGCACATTTTGTGTTATTGTTGGCCGTTTAATTACAAACGACGCTTGATTTTCAACTTGAAAATTTTGTTGAAAAAATTGACTTAACGGATGTTTTTTATTGCCTAAGCCAATTAGTTTTTAATATTTGTTCATGTTTTCTTATTGTCTGACTATCTAGCTTTAATAAAACACCAACTATGACGAAATTAAGCCAAATGTTGATTCTCAGTAACCAAAAAACTAACTTAAGTCAACATCAACCCGCCATGTTTGGAAGCCATTTTGGGGAAGTTCGTTCACTTTTTTTTGTGGGAACATTGGCTTTTTTTTAATAAATAGTTACAAGGAACACAACGATATGAGATTTATAGGGATGTGGGGAGGGGGGGGGGTGCACGGTAGGGGGGTCTGGCCCAAAGACTAATTATCCTACCCACGGTTTTTTATGGATGTGAAATGTGGCCGCTTACATCAAGGGATGAGCAACATCTTAAGATTATTGAAAAAAAAGTTTTGCATAGAATATTCGGATAATACTTATCCGAAATAAAATACTTATTTCTGCTAAGAAGAGGGTGGTAAGTGAAAGTCGTGTGATGCGCACACCAGATTTTTCTATCTTGAATAATGAATTTAATTTGAACAATATAGTAAAATAAAAAATTAAATCTCAACACATACATATACATTTTACAATATGTATTAATAAATCATCTACTTTATTACAAAAGTAGAAAAATGTGCAATGCAACAAAAATCAAATTCGTGCAATTTAAGCCAAAAATGGCAAAACATGCAATATAAAATTTAAATGTGCTATATATAGATATTCAGATCCGGAGTTTTTACATGCAAGCGAATAAAATGTGCAATAACATGGATATCCAGTCTCTACTAGTTGACAGAGATAATCAACATATATGTATTCGAAAACCTTTGCTAAACCATTATATATAAATATCCAATTAAAAAAAAAAAAAAAACGATAATTAAAACAAAATATATATTTTGTTATCAAATCACAAAACAAAAACTAGACTTTTATATAAGTCAAACCAATAAAATGTCAGAACAAATGTTTAAAATAATATTCATTTTTAACATATAATCATCATCATAGCACATAAAAACTGGCATAAAACAAATAGAAAAAAGTTTCATGAATAGAAAATTCAAACAAAAATATTAAAAATTATAATAAACTAAAAAAAGGTGTAGTTCTACAACAAGAAAAAATAAAGACAAGTTATTTTCTCTCTGACTTAGATTGTGTTACATAATCTAACAAAGTCAATAAAAATATTAACTAACACTTAATCAATAATTATAAGTAATAAGAAAAATTATATGAAAACAAGTGTGTCATAGAAATTTTCAGCTAAACAAATATAAATAATAGTATAGAAAAATATACTCCAAATTAATAATCAAATTTAAATATAAAAATACAATAACAAAAATAAAGAAACACATTAGAAAAAAATGGAAATTAAAGTAACAGATACTTAAGCAGCTGAGTTATTAAAAAAACTGCTTTTGCAGCTAATATTAGTTTTATCACACATGGAGGGAATAATAGAACAAAAGCTAAAGTACATATTAGGTTTTGATTATGAAGTAATACAAAATTGAAAAAAAAAAATAAGCCTCATCAAAAACAAAAAGCTAACCAAGATATAAATATACATATATGATATTTTTAGAAATAACAAGCAAATCACAGAAATATTACTGTTTCATTATGAAAACATCAATTCATTTATTAAAACAAAATCCTTTAATTTTTAATTTTATTTAGGATCATTGCCTTATTTTGAAGAAATATCAACTTCAACAAATATAACAGGTTTTGTTTTTAAATTACTGTTGTTTTCTCAAGTAATTAAATCATGTAATCAAAATCATCAATATATTTTTTTTTTCCTCTAAAAACTTCTATTCTCTGAGTTTCAAAATGACTAATAACATTAATAAGTAATGAATTAAAAAGTTATTTTAACTATTAATTTGAAATAAATTGATTTAAATATGAAAACAAGAATTATAAATATCCATTTCAAATGGCAATATGTTTATTTCCAAACATTCAGTCTTCTTACTATGCAACTAACTTGCTATAGTATAAAAATAAAAACTAATAATAATAATAACATGATTACTCAAACAAGATTTTTTTTGGTAAGTTTAGGATTCATACATTACATTTACTTAAATGTATCTGGAAAATGCTTTAATAATAAACAAAATGGATTCTTGTCAATCGAAAAATCAAGCAAGTCCACTACAAACATTAAAATATATAATGTTACAAAACATTAAACAAAAAATCAATCACAAAACTTAAGGTTTGAATGTTTTTTTCAAAACCATAGGAAAGCATAATAATAGTTACCAATCACATAAATAACATAAGTAATATAAATGAGTACAATTTATCTCATTATAAAACAACAATACAAAATATGGTTATCACACAACATCAAGAAATGTATATACACAATGTATTAAAAAACACATATAAAATACATATATGTATAAAACACACATGTATGAACAGAATTATTTTTATGGTAATCACAGTTTAATGGTAAATATGGTTAATCATATTTCAACCGGCCATTACAAGTCAAAGCCAGACATTTGTATGTTCTGCAGGGTATTTCTGGCTGTAAAAAAGAAAAAGAAAAAGTTATATACATACATATATATTGAAAATAAGTAACATTTGAATAAAAATAAATTAAATAACACTGATTCATATATGTAGTGGTACTAATACACTTTCCTACAATCAATCATTACATCAGGATCACTAAAAATACCTACATTTACCACATAAAAGTTGAAATTAAAGGGATTTTCCCACCCTTTGAAAAAAAAAATGGGCAATTATAACAAATGTTCTGTTAAATGATATATTCACAAAACAATGAAACATGTTTCATAACATTTATCATATATTCATATTATTTTATTTTCATTTGTGTATTTAAATGTTATGGGGTAGAGGTAGTTAACTGTATTTTTAGCATTAGATTTTATAAAATATATACAACAAACATAATTTTACATTGACAGTATGAAAAAAATGAAAAATCAATAAATTTAAAATAAATAAATATTTTTTTAAAAATAAATAAACTGAACTAAATTAATTAAAATTTGCAAATCAAAATGAATAAATATATTAACATCATAAATATATTAACATAACTTATATATATATATATATATATATATATATATATATATATATTTAAAAGCACATATTAGCATGTCACTAGAGAAAGAATTGGTCGGAAGCAGGGGTGCAGTCAATGTATAATATTTATTATACGGGATAAATCATTGACTGTCGTAGATATATTGAAGAAAAATTGGATAGGATCTTCAATCACCAGTAACAAAGTAAAAATAAATAAATTATATTTATTTTTGTCTTTGTTTTGGTCCAAAGTTCAGGCCTTCATCAGGGCTAAGAAAAGAAGAGATAACATTGATATAACACAGATAAGAAAAGATAACAATTTTTACCTACATATTATTATTTATACTATCTACTAGTTCCTTGCATCTATGTTATCTTGTCTTTCCTCCAGTCTTGATGAAGGACTGATCCTTGGGCCGAAACGTAGGCACAAATAAAAATAAATATTATTTATTAAATTTTACTTTGTTATATGATGTTTTGTTGAATAAACAACAAAAAACAAACTCGTATTTAAGAATTTTAGTGGACTCTAAAAACGAATCTGAATTGTTTTTTTTATGAAAAAAAAGTACTTGGCCTACTTTACTGAAAGCGTCTATGAGTTTTTGTTATTTATTATACCTTATAATTCGTTTAATATAATTAGCAATATGTTTTTCTTATTTTACACAAAAAAACAAATCGATTAATATATAATAACTTATAGATCCATGCAGAGTAATCAGAAAACAGTAACATAAAAAAGGAATAAAATTTTATTAAAAAAATTTGCTAGGCTCCTAGCATGCATTGGCAAGAATCCTCAGACATGGGTCTAATATTTTTTGATCTAGTGTCACCAAAAAAAGTTTCATTGAAATCGGTGACCCCACACCCGTAAATTCTCCTTGTTAGTGAAGTTATTTTTGGACTAACCATTTATCACCAAATGTTCATATTAATTCATTCATATAGACTAAATTTTATTAATTATTAAAACAGGTACCTTGATTGATTAATATCTACTTGATCATTTGTTTATCTATCCCGAACTTACCTCCAACTTCGGGCCTAATCGAACCTACAGTTTTTGAAATATGGGTCTATTGAGGAAAATACGTTTGCACATATTAAAGAGAAAGTAAAAGATAGAATTCAATAAAATTGTGACAGTATCATGTTTTTACTGATGCACCTTCCTTTCAACTTTGAGCCAAACGAAAAGAGCTGTTTATGAAATATTGACATATCTAAGAAAATACATTTCAGCATGCGTAGGAAGGAGATGGAATTCAATGAAATTAATATAGAACCATCTAGCATCACCAGCCCACACAATAACCTGGAAAATTTCATGAAAATCAAATAAATGGTAGAAAGTGATATGTCCGTCACACTGATTTGATTACAGACAGACACTGAAACAAATTTTATCCTTAATGTCTGAAACGTAAAACAGGTGGAAATTTTTGATTCTAAGCACAAACATTTTTTTAACTTCCTGCATGAATACAAAGCTTCCCTACCTTCAGTAGTGAGAAAACAAAAAACAACAATACATAAATTCGAAGTAAAATAAACTAAATTTACTTACCGGTGAAATAAGAAGTATCAACGATACTATCGGGCTGAGGAATAAATGGAGCAGTGGAGTTGTGTAAATCTTTCCAGTTAACTTCACTAAACAGTTTAAATTTTTTTACTTCGTCCCCTTTAGGACGTACAGTGGGATCTCTGGTCAGCAACTGTTGAATAGCCTCAACTGCTTCAACAGAAAGGGATTCCTCTCCTTCAGGCCATTCTAAATCTAAAATCAATAATTTCAATTAACATTTCTAATAGATCAGTTTTGTTGGAAAATAAAAAAGGATCACAATCCTGGATTCTATTTTGCATCCTAGATAAAAAAATTAAGTTTCATTAGCAATGGTTAAACTACAAGGTGAAGTGGTCATGCTTGACTAACAAATTCTTGTTTTCTTGTGCAAGAATTAAATGTAAATTGACATTACCAATCACTAAGAATTTCATGTAAGTAAATCAATCACTAAACAAACATAATACCAATGTAAAAGAGGATATCAAACAAACTACTAATTTTTTTAACTTTAAACTCATATCACAAATCAAATTGTTGATAATAAATACATATAGAAATCCATCTTTCATATAAAAATATCATCATATTTTATGAAGTGTATATTTATGGACAGTTATTAGTGAAAAAATTGATGAGCACTGAAGTTATGAAATCAAAATATTAGAATATATTTACAGAAAATATTGAATGAAAGTATTATCTCTTACAATTTTAAGGTAAAAGTTGTTGAAACTTTATTAACTATACATAAAAGGTTTAATTAGCAAGGATCAATAATATAACCAGAAGATGGTCCAGGAGTTGGTCAGAAAAAAATCAAATAATTGCAAAGTATTTATTCAATGTCAACATTTTGACCCACATCGTAGTTCTCCATTAGGGTTAAAAGGAAATATAAAAAGAGAGTGAAACTATTGTAGGAGTAAATATATATACAGAATGACTAACCTAAATGTGAATGTACAAACTTAAAAATAATAAAGGTTAAAGGTGGAAAAACAATAGTATCTGACATAATAATTGACAAAAGAAATGAGTAGAAATATACTGGCCAAGTAACAACTCAATAGATATTGAATAGTAAAATAACATAACTGATAAAACATATTAAAAAAGTAATAAATAATAAGTGGAATAAAAGTGTGAAGAGGTTTAAATAAGGGATTGATTAAAATAATGCATGAAGTAACATCCCCACTGAAATAGCTTCAGAAGACAGACAACGAAAGGGATGTCTTGGAGGGGATGAGGATCTTTAAGAGAATTTAAACAGAAATATCTAAAAATAACTTAAACAAGAAAGATAAAAAGTAAATCAAATCATAAATAGGGTAGAACCCCGTTTTCGACAACACCTCAAGTTTTGGCACCCACCCATTGAAGGTTATTTAAGAATATTAAGCTATTGGAATGGCCTAAAACTGATGAAAGGTAAATCCTCTTCAAAACATAAATCATTTCTGTGCAAGCATATCATTGCATATTTTAGTATTTATCTTGTTTTAGTAGACAAATAAGGAAGGCTCTGAAGATAAGTTTTCCAACAGGTGTAACTCAACAAGGGTGTATCTTACATTTTTGATGAGAAACACACATCCATTTTTGAGAAACTTTAAGATATAAACTGATATTTTTATATATAGCATTTCCAAGTCAATTTCAACCTTTTCCAAATCAAATTCAACCTTTTCCAAGTCAAATTAAACCTTTTCCATTTCAAATTCAACCTTTTCCAAGTAAAATTCAACCTTTTCCATTTCAAATTCAACTTTCGAATTTTTGTCAATTTTCGATTTTTTCGGAATGAAGGCCACTTACTATATTATCGAAGGCATAGCTTTTGAAAAATACAAAAAAAAAAATTGATAACGCGGTTGCATATCCATTTATTTTAACATTTTAGATTTTTTCAGTGTGATATTTCTATGCCATATTCAATTATTTCCAAGTCAAATTCAACCTTTTCCAAGTCAAATTCAACCTTTTCCAGATCAAATTAAACTTTTTCCAAGTCAAATTCAACCATTTCCATTTCAAATTAAACCTTTTCCAATTCAAATTCAACCGTTTTCATTTCAAATTAATGTTTTAATTTTTTGTAAATTTTATATTTTTTTTAAAATAATGGCCATCCCCTCCCCCCCCTCCAATATGAAAGTCTATTATTATGCTCTCCTAAGTAGAATTTTCACTTACGGATATCGATTTATTGTACCTATTCGGATTTATTAGGGACTAGTATTATGCTGTCCTGTACCTAGTTTTGAAAATAACCTCCATTTTAAGATTACGTGACTGCGTTTCGAATCATTTAAGTTTTTTTGACTTATTCGATATAAGGGTGTATTTTTATGTTTCCCGATCAGTAAATTTTGAAAATGACATCCATTTTATGATTACGCCACTGTGTTTTGACTTATTTAAGTTTTTAGAATTTATCCAATATAAAGGTCTACTTTTATGTTTCCGGAGCCGTAGATTTTGAAAACGACCTCCATTTTAAGATTAGGCCACCGCGTTTCGATTTCTTTGAGTTTTTCGATATTTTTTCATATGAGGGTGTATTCTTATGTTTCCGGAGCCGTAGATTTTGAAAATGACCTCCATTTTAAGATTAGGCCACCGCGTTTCGATTTATTTGAGTTTTTCGGATTTTTTTCATAAGAGGGTGTATTCTTATGTTTCCGGAGCCGTAGATTTTGAAAACGACCTCCATTTTAAGATTAGGCCACCGCGTTTCGATTTCTTTGAGTTTTTCGGATTTTTTTCATATGAGGATGTATTCTTATGTTTCCGGAGCCGTAGATTTTGAAAATGACCTCCATTTTAAGATTAGGCCACCGCATTTCGATTACTTTAAGTGTTTCGAATTTTTATCATAAAAGAGTGTATTCTTATGTTTCCTTTTCTTAATAACCTTTATACTTGTTAAATTCTAAAAACTTAAATAAGTTGAAATGCAGTGGCATAATCATAAAATAGAGGTCATTTTCAGAATTTATGGTTCCGAAAACATAAAAGTAGACCTTTAAATTGGATAAATTCGAAAAACTTAAATAAGTCAAAATGCAATGGCGTAATCATGAAATGGAGGTCATTTTCAAAATCTAAGGCTCAAGAAACATAAAGTAGACCTTAATATTGGATAAATTCGAAAAACTTAAATAAGTCAAAACGTAATCATAAAATGGAGGTCGTATTCAAAATCTACAGCTCCGGAAAAATAAAAATACACCCTTACATCGAATAAATAAAAAAAACTTAAATAAGTCGAAACGCAGTGGCATTATCTTAAAATGGAGGTCATTTTCAAAATCTACAGCTCCGGAAACATAAAAATACACCCTCATATGGAAAATATCCGAAAAATTCAAATATGTCGAAACGCGGTGGCCTAATCTTAAAATGGAGGTCGTTTTCAAAATCTACGGCTCAAGAAACATAAAAGTAGGCCTTAATATTGGATAAATTCGAAAAACTTAAATAAGTCGAAACGCGGTGGCTTAATCTTAAAATGGAGGTCATTTTCAAAATCTACAGCTCCGGAAACATAAAAATACACCCTCATATGGAAAATATCCGAAAAACTCAAATAAGTCGAAACGCGGTGGCTTAATCTTAAAATGGAGGTCGTTTTCAAAATCTACGGCTCCGGAAACATAAAAGTAGACCTTTATATTGGATAAATTCTAAAAACTTAAATAAATCAAAACACAGTGGCGTAAACATAAAATGGATGTCAATTTCAAAATTTACTGATTGAGAAACATAAAAATACACCCTTATATCGAATAAGTCAAAAAGACTTAAATAATTCGCAACGCAGTCACATAATCTTAAAAAGGAGGTTATTTTCAAAAACTACTCATACGATAACAGACCCACACATCAAAAAATTTAAGATAATTAAATAAATAAAAAAAGGTTGAATTTGAAATGGAAAAGGTTTAATTTGAAATGGAAAAGGTTGAATTTGACTTGGAAAAAGTTTAATTTGATTTGGAAAAGGTTGAATTTGACTTGAAAAAGGTTGAAATTGACTTGGAAATGCTATATTTAACTTATTCATCTTATTTCATATGAATCACTGTTATTTTAAAACATAATAACAGCCAACAATTTTCATTTTTATTATTTAAAACATAAATAACTGAACCTCAACTGTTAATTTTTAACACCCTTCCCAGCACTAGTTTTCAGTCAGGCTATCTTAGAATCTGCTTACCAAAAACAGTTTGTAGTTCTATTTCGTTATTTGTGATCATTCTACTTAATAATTGAAATATAAGACCTACTTTCAAAAATCTGGTGCGTGCATTGCACAACTTTCACTTACCACCCTCTTAGCAGAAATAAGTATTTTCAGACAAAGGGGAAGTGAAAGTAAAAATTATAGACACTATTTATTTACATTTTATTGTGGGTATTTACAAATTTGAATTTTTATATCGTTGTATTCTACACAATTTAATATTGAATAATACCAAAGATAGCATTTATGAAAACTGCATATGTATATGTACATAATATTGTCAGAGTCCATATTATATTAAGCTAATGTTATGTATGGAAGCATGTCGTAATCTTTCGGGCGAGCTCGTATTCTTTTGGTTCCTGCATTACAATTCCGTTACGATTTCTTATTTCTCCTTTAGTTAATTATCAAATTACTTCATATTTTATATTAAACTACTTTTTATATCAAAGATTAATGTGAAATGATTAATTATTTCAAATAAAAAAAATTAAAGGTACTTTAGAGGAAGCTAATATTGAAAATTAGCCATTTAAGTCCTGTTAGAGAACATCAATGAGAATAAAACCTACATTATATTAAAAACTGCTTAATAATACACTGATATACAGAGTTTAATCAAAATCGTTAGAGCCGTTTTTGAGAAAATCGTAAAAATGTGTCAAATCAATTATATAAAGTGCCACTTCGGGTACACCGATTTTGACGAAGTAATTGCTGTAACATCTCAGGTATATACAAAACTTATATATGCAATTTCTCTTTCATACGACCTTTCGTTTTTGAGTTAGTCTGGTCACACGCACACGCCAACACACATGCACGCGCGCACACACACACAACATTTTGCGGGATTTGACTATTTGGACTCAGGAGACCTCAAAACATATATTTCCGTTGAAAACTCAGATTTGAAAATTTTCAAGATCACAATACTTATCCTTACTATATATTGGTAAGTGAAAGTAAAAAGATGTGTAATAAGTTATCAAAAACATTTCTGCACAGTGGCATTGAAGTTCTTTCATTCAGAAGACTGCCAGAAATTGGTAGTTTCGGATTCTGAAAATTGGAAAGAAGGTGCCAAAAACTGGCGCATACAGATATTTATATATTTTTATGTTTTACTATAAAATATTTTATGGAAGACAATCTTTCACATATATAATTTGAAATTAGAGATCTTTACTGACTTAAGAGAATCAAAACAGTTCAACCAAATACTCATGATATTGAAAATGGGATAAAAACCTTTTAAAGTAGCCTTAAGTGTGCCAAAAACTGGGTTTTACTCTAAATAAAATTAAGAAATTAGATAGAAGTATATAATTGATGTAATTATACAAATAATATTCTATTTATAAAAAATAAATAATCGAAACATTTGAGGTTGGCAATTATAACTTCCTTGTGATTCACATTTTTTTTTTGGAGACAAGTTGGTCAGGGTTGAAAACCTAAACTAACTGAAAGTCAATGAAAGAACAAAGTAAAAATAAAATAAATACAATATATTTTCTTTGTTCATTCATTGACTGAAAACCCCAATCAACATTTCTCCAAATATTATCTATAGTCAACTATTATCCACAATCATATATTTTTTTATTTGTCACATTACGTTTCACTATTGTCAGAACCTTCCCTACAATTCAAGGATTGATTATTAACCCATTGTTTCCTAATTTTAAATTACTATTATCATTTAAACTACAATTAACGTTCTTTTGTTGTGCTCTCCTTGTATTAAATAAAATTAGTTAGTTACTTTTTAAAGTTAAACATATTCAGTGGCAACATTTATCTTGAACAACAGTCCGTTGCATTTGAGAAAAAAATAAATTTGTATTTTGTACCTTCTCTGTACATTTCTAGTCTCCCTCTGCCTATCGACAGTTGGCCTGTTAATATGATTACATTTAATTGGCTTATTGTGTTTTATTAATTCTGTTTATTATATCCCAATAGTGTGAAGCCAATTTTTTCTTGTCTGTTTTGTAATTTACTGTAATACTATTATTTTTTGTAATAAAGTTGGGTTTCTAGGAATTTTCTTTTATCATTTTTTTAGTTGATACTTATTATTTCTGGACTGTTAAAATTTAAATTGTGTTGCACTTTTATGCTATGTTGTACTAATGCAGGGACATTAATTTTTTTGTTTTTGCAACCTGAAATGTGCAGTAATGTAACTTTAATCAAGCAGTTTTTTTTTTGTTTTTTTTTTCTCCTATATATTTTTTGAGCCACTTTAACCCACCTCAATCTTGGAACAAACTAGAATGCCTTTAGTGCAATCACTGTTTATTATCTTCTTTTTTTACTGAAATTTAGTTCAACATTCAGAAAAAATATTCTAAAAATGCCAGCATCATTAAAAATGTACTTAGTGACTTTTTGTAATAAACAAACGATTTGTTCTTTTAGATTACTATGTTTAGAAAAAAAAAATTAATAAAAATAGAATATCAAATAATTTACCTTGGTTTAAGATGTTATGAAAAACAGCTTCAGGAGTTGTATCATGAAATGGTAGAACACCAGTCATAAATTCATATAAACATATACCTAATGACCACCAATCAACTTCAAAGCCTGTATTAAAGAAATGAAATAAACATATATAATAAAAACAATTTTAAGGAACAAAACTTTTTTTTGTTTATTTTTTTTTAAATCTCAATTAAAATTAAACTTTTATTGATAAAGCTAAACATGCAAATTAGTTTATATAAGTAAGAAGTAACCAGGTAGTTAAGCATTAATAAACCATTAGTGATATCCAATTAAAGCTTTTCAAGTCAATTACCGTACTACTTCTAATTCTTTAAACTTAAATTATAGAACCATCACTTAGGAATGGTTATACAAAGGTCCTCTTCCCTTCAAAACAACAAAAGTCAGATATCTTTTAATTACTCATAATTGCTTGCTAATTGTATTCCCAAGTGCATTCTAAATTTTTGTAATTTCTCAATATCACTCTTCTAATATAATTTAAGTATTTTACAATATGTATCATTTTTTCTACTGATATTTCTGACCTTTCAATTCTTTGAAGAGAAACAAAATCATTGGATCTATACTTTCAAAATAAATGGAGCCACCCGGCAATGAACTGAGATAGGCATGCACCAAATTGGTGATTGAGAAAAAATTAAATAAAGTTATTAAGATACAAGGCCATGCTAGCTATATTTAAAAAAATCCACACCACTTGATTTTCAACTTCCTCACAATTTAACAGCCATCATTAAGTTGAATACTGAAGCTGTTAACTGGATTTACATAAAATTGCAATAGCATAGACATAACTGACTGTGGCCAATAAATATAGTATTTGAAGCTCTCTTCTGAAATAAAAACTACTCCACTCAGGTTGTTTAACCTGTGTTTAAAAATACACCACAGTTTTATGCAGCAACCAAAAAAGTTTCATAACCAAACTAGAAAGACTAAGGACATTATTTTCCCACCTTTTACTCCTCATTATTAAGAATTCTGGCATCTTAAAAAACCCTATACATTCCATAAACCATTTGTTCTCAAGCATTTCAACCGAATAACTTCTACTTTACCTTCAACGTAAGCTCCTCATCTCCAAATCTGTTGATGTGCTTGATTTCCTTTGAACAACCAATATCTAGGAGACTCCTTGATCTGTCACTTAGAGACATGCTCTGTACATGTGATATGACTCAATGAAAACAAATGAGATAGTAAAGACAATAGCTAAATTTGTATACATTTCATGATTATTGAAAATAGATAGGGGATAAATTTCTTTCCAATTTACCAAGTTATTTTTATTTATGAACATTTACTACTAGCACCCATTAGTACAACTACAGTAGCATAATCAGAAGGATAATAGCTCAAGCATGCAGTAATATTATTTAATAATACATCAAAACAAGGAAGTAATGACATTTCTTAGACTTTATTACCCAAGATAGACAGTAGAATTAGCTTATAGTGACGCTATTTATAGTAAAATTCTGGCTACAAAGAATAATACAAAGATGAAAAAACATTGTTTCCAATATAACAGATTTCAAATTAATTTTAAGTACTAGAGAGGGGAAAGGCTGTACAAGCTACCTTCCCCAACCAGTAACCATCACTAATATAAATATTATATGTTATTTTATAAACAATAATGCACATTGTTATAAAATTATAGTTCTATTCTGAAAAGAATAAAATTATATAAAATATTATTTGGATATAGAAAGAGCCTTGACATTACAAGCTCGTTTGGGCCGTTGTATGATGTATGAAAAAATTTTGATGAAACTTAGATCTCTTCTTTTTTTTTTCTTAGAGAATAAATTTTATTCTGGATTTTGGAAACTTGGAAGAAGGGAAGAGCCACTTTAACTCGTCATAAAAGTGGGACACATGAGACCGCCTCGAAGAACCAAAGACAAGTCTTAATGAGTTCATAAGTCGCTTTAATCTATCCTCAAGTACCATCAAGGTGCCTCTGTACACCATACAGCCATAGTCAAAGTGGGGGAAAATAAGAGAGAATACAAGGAGCTTACGGATAGGTTGTAGGTGGTAGGTGCGGATAGATTGGAGGGGAATGACCACAGCAGGTGTTAAACTGCCATCCTGAAGCCTTAAACTCACCACTTTCTTTAACTCAACTACTCTTTGCAAATAATTGGAGAACTGTGGCAAAAGACTGAACCACCAGGCAAAAGCTTAAGTGAGGAGGCTGTAGCACCATGCAAATATTTTTGTAAATATGTTTCAGAAAAATTTTAACTTAATTTTTTTTTAATACGTAACTTAATATTCGCGAATGAATAATAATTGGAAATTCATGCAAATAACCTATTCAAATTAAGTTCAGAAATATAAAAACAATTCCAAGAATAATAAAAATATTCGATAAGAATGAAATTGCACTGGATTTGAGTCCAATTCAGATTTCTAAAAATTAAATACCTAATTGAAAAATGTATTTTTATTGCATATAGTTTTCTATTTGCAGTCATAATTTCAAAGGAAAACTTATAGAGAGAGTAAAGCACTAATATAATAAAATTCTTCAATTTGATGTACTTTAACTAGCATGTCTTTATTTTATCCCTCCCCATTTGGCCATTTTTGGCATTTATCAACCTATTCCTAGCTCCGCTATTGTCTGTCCCAAGTCAGGATGAAAAAGGAGGAGGGGAAGGAGTAACAACCGCGTTAAAAAACCTGGATTTAGCTGGCCCAGCTTATAGTAACCGGTAAGGGCCTCTTCCTAGGGTTACAGGACTGGTCTCCAGGTTGGGGGTTAGCTGCTCCTCTCTCATAAAACTTCTTGTGGCTGTGAAACATCAAGAAAATTGTCTCGGATTTGGACAGTCTAAATGGTATCGACCCGGCGTTCTCAAGAAATTCAAGTTGGGGACATGGAATGTTCATACCTTGTATAGAGCTGGAGCATTAAAATTGCTCCTGGATGAACTTTCTAAAATATAAGAGACATCACTGCAGTGCAAGAAATAAGATGGGTAGGCTCTGGAATTATGGAGAAGAAAGATCATACCATCTATTATAGTTGCCACTGGAATCAACATGTCTCTGGGATAGGTTTTGTGGTTAGCGGTAATATGAGGGAGAATATCATGGATTTCAAGGCAGTTAATCATAGGTTATGCATGCTGAGAATAGGGGCAGGTTTAGAAATTATTCTTTGGTTTCGGTTCAAGCACTGACTGAGGCTGCAGACAATTTCTATCATGACTTGGAGAATGCCCATGCCATGATGTAAAGATAGTTCTGGGTGACCTTAATGCACAGGTTGGAAGAGAGCCCGCTCTTTTGCCAATAGTAGGAAGACTTAGTCTACATCCAGAATCTAATGATAATGGTTCAAGGCTGGTGGATTTCGCCGCATCCCAAGATATGGTTGTTGGTAGCACTATGTTTGACTGTAAAAACATTGATAAAGCCACATGGGTTATCCCAAATAACAATAGTAGTAACCAAATTGACCATACACTGGAGGCAGAGACAAAGGTCTAGTCTCATGGCAACATTCAGAGGAGCGAATGTTGACAGTGATCACTACCTGGTTGTATCACGAATTCGAGCCAGAATAAGTAATGCTCATAAAACTTAAGGGGCCCGGACGGAAAGGATTAATACTCGGAAACTAAGTGAACCAGAGTGTAAGGAGGAATTCACCCAGAGACTTGATAAAGCTTTAGAAGGGGGCCTTTATAAGACACGGTGAACGGAAGATGGAACCACAGCAAATTCGCCATCAAGCAAACTGCAGAAGAGGTTTTGGGTATGAAGGAAGCCCACCAAAGATCTGAATGGTTTGACTCGGAGTGCCAGGCAGCGACAGACAGGAAAAATGAAGCGTACAGGAGAATGATAGAGAGGCACCGAACTCGTCAAGGAATATAAAAACAGAAGGCGAGAAGAGAAATGTAATCATAGAAGAAAAAAGAAGAAACAAGAACAAGAAAAAATAAGGGAAATCGAAAAACAAAGGAGTCAAGCGGTAGTAACAGCCTTCTACAAGAATGTGAATGCCCAGCATAACAAATTCAAGCCAAGATCCAATGCTTGCCGAGGAGAGGATGGATCACTTATTACAAGCAAAGACATCATTCTTGACAGATGGATCACCCACTTTGGAAGTATTTTGGGAATCCCCGAGGACCCCACGGTGAATAGTGTAATTCCTGTTCTGTGCAAAGGCTTCGAGTTAACCGATCCACCAGATGACGAGGAAATATATGACTCCATCCATAAACTAAAGGATCTGATAACATAACCACAGAACTTCTGAAGGCTGGAGGGAACAAACTAATCAAAGTTATCCACGACCTTCTCCATAGTATTTGGATAATTAAGACAATGCCTGAGGAATGGTGCATCGGCGTCATTATCCCTCTCATAAAAAGGGAGATCAAACCAACAGCAATAATTACCGTGGTATAACTCTCCTCAATTGCACATATAAGGTGTTATTTAGCTTCATCTATCAGAGGCTACTTCCGCATGCAGAAAGAGAGGTGGGAATCTATCAATGTGGTTTCATGAGAAGGAGATCTACCACCGATCAGATTTTTGCCTCAAGGACCCTGCTTGGAAGAACAAGGGAATATAATATTATCACAAATCACTTTTTCATAGATTTTAGCAGTGCATATGACAGTGTCATCAGAAAGAGGTAGTATCAGGCTATGAAAACAATGAATATCCCACTTGAATTGATCCATCTTACAGAACTGCTCATGATATGATCAAGGTGTCAAGTTAGAATACAGGGAGACCTATCAGAGGCATTCACGACTACAAGGGGCCTAAGACAAAGAGATGGCTTATCATTTCTGCTCTTCAATCTTGCACTAGAAAAGGTGGTAAGGGGCTCTGATGTGAAAAGAAGTGGGACGATTCTCACCAAATCAGTACAGATTCTGGCCTACGCAGATGACATAGATATTATAGCTAGATCACAGAGGGACTTAGAAAGGACCTTCTTAGCTATAGAGGCAGCAGAACAGGTAATGGGTCTAATTATTAACCAAGCAAAAACCAAATATATGATTGGTCCTGTAAAAGTTGAAAATCAGTATAGGCTAAGGCATAATGCAGTTGTACCAAATATATCCGGAACCAGATGTGGTGCAATTTATACGGCTCTCTAGGCTAAGATGGGCTGGACACGTTGCAAGGATGGATGGAGACACACCGATCAAGCTGCTACTGTTCGGGTATGTAGATGGCAGAAGAAGGAGAGGACGACCAAGACTGAGATAGGCAGATGAGGTCGACGCCGATGCAGAGAAGCTTCTGGACACTAGAGCTTGGCAGACCCTTGCACAAGAAAAAGTGGAATGGAGGTGACGCACTGATGCGGCGAAGACCCGTACCGGGTTGTAGTGCCTGTGATGACCAACCTATTCCAGCCAGTGTGGGAAGGTTGAAATTTATCAACAAAAAAAATGGAAATATTTTTTTTTTTTTTTTATGAGTATTTTATAAAGTGAAAAACAAAAAAAATTTACTTCACAGAAAATCCCAAAAAGTTATTATATAATTCTTACTTTCTTTCTTTTCTATAAATATAGTTAAGACATATCCTTTAGTTCTTCATATTCTTCCAATGTTTTTTTATGTTATAACTTAGTTATGTTTTCATACTATTACTAAATACTAAATATGTACAGTAATCCCTGGTGATCACTAACTCGATTAACCAAAAACATCAGGCCACATGAACTAATTTTTAAGTCCCATCAAAAACAATGTATTTCTTGGCATGATTTTTAATAAATCCCAGGTCAAACATGATTGGGTTAACAATTCTTTAACAATTTTAGGTAATAGTAGAGTGAAATTTTTGGCTAACATTAACTTTCTCTATGTATAAATATTTAGATATCAATCCTGTTGACTTCTCATTTAACCCCATCTTCTTCTTTTACATTCAACTGTAACCACATATTAATGTAACAACATCATGGAAATATGTATAGAGAAACTTTTAGCCCACCAGATAAATCAAACTTGTTCATCTTAGACTATATTTGAGTTAACATGAACCAGAAGATTGTCTCTCACCATGTTGGTGTTGACCAGGGACTACTGTAATAGCAGATATACAAGAATGATTTTTTAAATATTCGAGAAATTTTAATAATACACCTACCATGTTGTGTACTTAACAATAATTCAGGTGCCAAATAATCTGGAGTTCCAACAACTGTATTACTACTGGATGTATATGGTTTTCCTTTGACGGACTTTGGTGTTCTATGGGGTGTTTTCATTACGACATCACTATAGTTTGGTGTGTGAATGGGACTCATTTCATCACACTCATCCTACAAACAAAAATTATTTAAACGTTAATAATGGGTGTTACTTATACTAACATCAAATGAAATCAAAATGAGCATAAAACTTCTTAAGAATAAAAACTAAATGAAGTACTAATCTGGAAATAATTTTGACACCATTTTAATTGAAATATGAAAATAAAAATGACAATTGTTGTTGTCTATAAATATTAAAAATGTTCCTGAAAAAAAAAATATTCAAGCTCTTTTATTTTTTTCTGTTTTATCAAAATCCAGACTAACTAAATCACCAGTTATACCTAGTTCTAACATAAATACTGTTACGAAAGTTGAACTTTGTTTAAATCCTTGGGTATTATTCAGATAATAATTACCTCTATCAGGTTCGGATTGGACCTCAGGAAGCCCTGATCTCAACCCACTAGATTATCGGCTTTGGTCCAAACTGAAAGGATGGCATGCCACAGAGCACACTTGGAAAGCCTCGAACAATCTCTGGTCCAATCAGTTGAGCGTTTTCCTCAAGAAGTGCAGAACGCTGCTATTGACTGGCCACAGAGATTAAATGCCTGTGTCAAGGCAAAAGGGGGGACGACTATTTTGAGTATTTTTTTTTTACTCTCTATAGATATACATTTTATTTTCTAATAGTTTTTGAAAAAATTAATTTTTCTGTTGAAATTTGTATATATTTCCTTGTAACAATATTTATGACAGGACTAGGTATACAGGATTTTATTACTTTCACAAGGAAAGACAATTTTCATTTGAATTTTTGCTTTTATATAGATATCATTGTTTCGAATTAATTCATTTTAATTAATCTAATATTAAAACTAGCTAGTGGGGTAGCTCAGTGATAGAGCGCTGACTTCTAATGCGCTCTAATGTGAAGTTCCCAGGTTCAAATCTAGCTGATGGCAGATAAAATAGTTATTCTGTTTTATCGGCCGTGAATTGACCCTGAGATCTGCATACCCAGCCTCTATAAAATAGTACACCCTTTACCTGTATACCTATTAAGAATATCCTTAATTAAATACTGTAAGATGGGGAACTTTGGAACTGTGTGGGAACTTTGGGACAGCAAGTAAAATTTAGTTTGTAGTGATTTTGTGGTGAATACGCTGTGTTGGTTCAGTCAGCATGGATAGCGCATGTACTGCTCTACTACCTTGGGATACAAGCGAAAGTGTCACGAAAACAAGAATTTTAAAAAAAAACCTATGAAAATAAATAAAACCTAACTGCACAACGAGTGTAGTGAACTAGGGTTCTCAAACTACCTCAAGGTAGTAGTGCAGTACATGCCTTCATAAAGCATGTTTTTGCAGATTGAACCAATACAGTGTATCCACCACAAAATTATCACAAACTAAATTTTACCCGCTGTCCTAAAGTTACCTAACCAGTCCCAAAGTTACCCCATCTTACGGTAATTAATTAACACAATCTTGGTCACCTCCTTGCACAACCTTTGACTAAGAAACAGCACTTCCTTACAAAATACTGAAACCCTTCATGTTATATTTTTGTACAGTTTTTTTTATTTTATTAAAGTTAAATTAAAACCTAATAATATAAACATTCCAACAATCACAATCGGTTAATAAGTATTTGAGATTTTAGTTGTGTTAGTCCCCAAACATTTTTTTTTTTTTTTTTTGTTCTTACTACTAAAAATAAGTAGATTTTTCCTAGTTTATTAATGTTATTGTAAACCTTTTTTTTTATTATTATTGAAATTTACAACTGTATTAAATGATAAATACAACAAGTAAATATGAAACAAGTAATATGACATGTACAACATGAAGAGAAACTACCTATTGGTAGCACTCCAATTGTATTTCTATATTAGAAGGTCCCGAGGCCATCTTCTTTTCAGAAGCCTCGGAGGGTTATCAGGCACAGAATAGGAAGCAAGGTTGGAAACAAGATTGTAAATCTAAAATACAATACTATTTACTGGTTTTGTTGATAAGTAACAATGCTGAGTTTGTTACATAACTACATAACATAACTAGTTATGGTCAGTGAATAATGTATATATATATATATATATATATATATATATATATATATATATATATATACATAATATTAAGGTGGCTTCACTGAAGTTGAAAGAAGAAATTTTCAAAGGAGCATCTGCACTGAAGTATGGATTGTGAATATGAATAGTCTTCAAACTTTTAAAAAACAAGGGGAGGACACAGATGGATCAATGAATAAAATGAAACTTTTTTTGTGATATTAGGCTGAAAAATATTAGACAAGAACCTAAGAGTTCTTGTCAATGCTTCTTAGAGGCAAAAAAAAAGTAATTTGGTATAATTTTAATAATTTTTTATATAATAGTTTATTGCCTGTGCATGAATTTCGAGGTTATTATATATCTCCAAACCACATTAACAACTTTTAAATTTTATTTCTTTACAAGCAAGTTATTTTATATCATTGGCTCTAATTTGTTTACGGAAGTTTTGAGGATTTGTTTTTATTTTTTTATTATTATAAACATTTGACCAACATGTGAGGTATGTGAAAATGCTAATCTGGCAGTTTAACACATATTCCAGTGCAAAAGTTCCGGAAACAGCAAATCGAACTCCAAATTGAAGACAAGGCACCATACAAGGAAAACACTGGTATTGAAAAAACGCTGAAGTACATCCGAAAAATAAAATTGATAAGTTATATTTAAGAAGAACGATCGTCGCTAATGACCTTGGCAGTCGATGCGACGTTAAATAACAGCAAATAAAAAAATAAAAAAATTTATATTTAATAAAAGTTTAATTATAACAATTATAATGTTTGTCCTAATCCTGCAGAGTATCTAGAGTAATATTAAATGCAAAAAAACAACAGCGAAGTAAGAATATATGCACAAAACCAGGGACCTAATGCATGTATGTTATGTTTCATTTTTCAAATATCATTTTAAAATAGATGAAGCTAGGTATATTTTAAAACCCCAAAGTCGCAACAAAGTGCATGCTCAGAAAGGATGCGATAAAAATCATGAGTCCAATCTTTTAAATATGATTTTAAACTAGTTAGTATTTAAGTGTATTTTTTCAAGATTATTTGAATAATTTTGAATGGATATTATTTATCAGTGGTAATTGTTAAAATAATAAAAAAGATTTTTTTTTATAACATGGCCATTTTATAACTGGTATCTGTAGTCTTTTAGTAAAACATCACAAACATTTATTTGATAAGGAGATCACAGCATATTTGGTAATTTTAATTTTTTTTAGAGCAAGTGTTTGTTATTATAAATATGTAAACAAAAACGTCATCAGAACAACTGCGTAAGCAAAACCCAATTAACTTCCCCTAACTAGGATCATAATCTGTGATTAACCCTAAGGGGTCACCCAGCTCACTGTCCCTAGCACCAACTCATGCACTATTGCTTTCAGTGCACCAAGAAGAAAATAAACAGTTTTCTATGAAGCTGCCATAAAAACTATTACATACTACCATTATGTCCTTACCCTTGCATCAATACAAGGACTTGCTTCGTCAATTCTTTTAGCCTGAACTCTAGCGCAATGAGTCCTCAGGACAGTAAGATTCATAAAAATATTTTTATAATATCTCATTTCCACAACAATCAATCATAATTGAATTAATTATTTATTTATATTAATGTTAATAATATTAAAATGTATAGTGTTTATTATAAACTTTATAAAACTATTACAAGGGAGGTAATGTTTAACAATAGATTTTAAATATGTAGGGTCAAGTGGTATGTAAATAACATTTTTTTATTTTAAAAGATCCTAGCTGCGAATGAAAAACTTTTATCATATTAAACTATTTTTAAGAAAATGTATATTATCCAACCATTGGATTAAAAAAAGACAATCATGGGTAAAAATGAGTAATTGTATTTTTAGGTGCATAGTTAAATTATTTTAGGCTATGGTAGTATAGTATAAAAATAGTTCTGGCAAAAAATAAATCATCTATACAATAAGTTTAAAAATTATTAAAAAAGGTTATGAGTAAAAACAAAATCTAATATCTCTCCAGAACCTAGCAAATTTAGCAGCTATTAAGAAACTTCTCCACAATTAATATATAAACCACTTCATTTTAAAAAAAAATTGATATCAACCTCAGAGAAATTATCACAAAACAAAACATAATCGTCTCCATAAAAAGTTTCATTGAGAAATTCACAAATGTATTTTGACACAATGCCAATCATTCAATATTGTAATGACTTTTGTTATTTAACAGATTAAATGAATAAATTTTACCACATGTCATGACATACAAAGAGTTAAATTCTGGACAACAAAAATAAAATTAGTAGTGAAACGACTAGAGACCTTCATGGTAAATCAAATTAGATAGAATTTTCAGGTCAGCCATGTGAGGTCTTTACTACTTTAAAATTTACAGAATTTCTTGTTTAGGGATTAAAATAATTTAACTATAAAAAACCTATCTTATATATGTTCTCTTTATTTATTTACATTCTCTCTATTATTTTTTTAATGTCTAAAGTTTCTATAATACAATATCTAGATATTATCAAAATATGTAAAATAAAAGATGCTCTATTTGATTTTAAATTGTATAAATATAAATAAATTGTCATTGAAGGCATAGAAAAAAATATATAAATTCTGTACCTATTAATAAATATTATTTTACCATTAAAACATAAACTTAGCAGAGAAGTATCTTCCCTGTAAAGTATAGTAAAGGTTAAGTTCATTATGTCAATATCGCAAGACAAGGGTTAAGGGTCGAGAGATTAAGACATGAGTGAGTATGTCAATGGTATGAACCCTAAGGTATTTCAAGTATTTAGGCACTTCTTACCTGAGTACTATGTACTATAATAAAATCATCAATACACATTTAAAACTCCAATTTATCCATATGGTAAATACATACATAATTGATTATAAATGATAATAACATACCATGATGTCTTCTACTACTTTAGCTGGCAACTCAAATCTTGTTTTCTTAACAACGGGATGTGCTCCCGAGCCCTCCAAAGCCGAAATGGGAGTTGATACCATAACTTGTGGCATTTCATATTCAAATGAATCGCCCCTAATAACAAAATAACAATACATATATTATATTATAAGTACAATATATAATGCTGTGTACTTAGCAATCCAATATAATTGGGCAGCACTCTTTTATATGAAAATAAAGCGTTTCTTTCCTATATATATATATATATATATATATATATATATATATATATAAATGATATGTAATGCATTGATAAGTAGTTTATCAATGAATTAATTCAGATTTATAAAATGTTTATAAAATGTATGTTTTATAAAAGATTTATAAAACATACGTTTTAATAATAACAGGTTAAAAACAAAAGTTGTAAATAAAAGTTAGTATTGTTCTGTTTAAGATTGCACAATTGCACATTGATTTATTTTGACTTTTTGGATTTATGATATCAGAGTCCACCATTATGCTTTCGAGAGTACTTTTTTATGAAAATACTGTCAGATTAAATCTTAAGATTGCGCAATCCCGAATCAAGTTTTTGGCAATTATTGGATTTCTTTGATACAAGGGTCCACTATTTATATAATTGATTTTACAATTTTCTCAAAAATTGCTAAAACGGTTTTGATTAAACTTATTAGGTTAATGTATTATTAAGTGAGTTTTAATTTAAGGCAGATTTTATTCTCATAGATGCAGCCTGACAGGGCTTAAATGGCGAATTTTCAAAATTTTTTACTCTAAAGTACCTGTAATTTTGTTTATTAATAGTTTAAAAGGAAAATAGTTATAATTTAAATTTTTATAATTATCAATATTACTATTTGTGATTTTACTTCATTTAGATTTTAGATTAATGAAGTGGATTTAGATAAATTTCCTTCATTGAAGCATATGCCACCTATTGAAGGGAGACTATATGAAAAGAGCTTAAGCAAGGAGGTTACACTAAGCAAGGTGAAGAAGAGTTGCTCCTTCTACAGGCAGACAGCTGTCTTGACAAAAAGCCACCAAGTTGAATTTTTCTTTTGACATTTTGATTTGTTTTACATTAATTAATTATGTGTTCTAATTGTAATTTACACTAGTTAACATGGTTACTTTTTAGTAATAACTATACATTATAGGGTGTGTGAATAAGTTTCCACTGTGTTTTGATGAAAATAAAAACTTTATTTATAAAAAATGGTCAGATGCAGGTTGTTGTGGCTAACATGAATTTCTCTGTTTTTGGCAATAATAACTTCCAATTAAACAAAATTTATTTTTTGAATTTACAAATTTACATGTTTATGTTTCAGGAAATTTACTCCTGTCTTCAGAACTACAATCCATTGTTTCCTTATCGATTCATGGCTTAAATCAAATGTGCTCCATTGTCAAGTTCTAAATTTATGTTATAAACAAATTATAGTATATAGTATCTAGAGCATCATCATGCCTGTAGACCAATAATTGGGTGTCTGCTTACAATACTACTTCCCAGCAAAAAAAAAAAAGAAGAATGAAGAATTAGTTTTAATTTTATTTTCTTGTGACCAAATCATAATATGGGAGAGGTCATTTTTATTTTTTTAATAAATAACATAGGTTATTTACTTTAAATTTTATATTTTGGTTTCATCACATTGAATAGTCTCAGAGACGAAATTCTCGTTAATTTCCGGTGCAGTTTCTCTCACGCTGTGTCACATGATAGACATGATAGATAGGCACTGCATATACGACTACTTCCATAAGATTTTCTCTTTCTGTCACCATTCCCCCCTGGAAAACCCAAGTTTTAATTTCTCCAGGTTGTGAAGGAGGTTTCCTACATCTGGGACATTATTCTCCTCCAAGAGGATGTACATTAGGCGACCCCAGGGACGTTCCCGGTTCAAGACTGGTTCCACTATATTTTTTTTCCCCTCTTATTATGAAAAAATAAAATTTTAAATTTATATACATATGTGTAAATTCTTTCTATATTGTTATTTCAATAATGACTTTATATTGATCTATCAATTAAATTAATTTCATTTCATTTTATTAAACTATAGTGATTAATTATAATTCATACATATTATTTTAGATTTAATTTGAAGGTTTCTTTCATGTTTAATGTTAAGGTATTTTTGTTTTGTTTTTATTATTATTTTAAGGGGGAGAAAATGCCTTAATTTACTTTTAGTTCTTTACTATGGCTTGTATTATTTTATTCGTTATTTTAATTCAATATACATTTACTGCTATTCGGTATTCCATTTATACATATTTATCCTCATGGATTCACATTATTTTAACATTTTACAATAAAATGAATTTGCATGGCACCAGTGGCCTATGGAAAAGGTTGAGCATATTTGGCTGTCCACATTTAAATGCCCACTGCTGTCACACAGGTCATTTAAAGTGTTGTTCACTGCTGACCTACTACCTTCCCTCATCTTTCAGGTAACATATGGACTCAACATTGAAAAAAGAAATGTTTTTTGAGACAATCCATTCATTGACCCATTTTTTAGTTTCATCATGAGAATGGAAGTGCTGCTCAGCCAGGCCATGAGTCAATGATCGAAACAAGTGGTAGATACGACAGGTGGGACAGAACTTCCCGTTTCAGTGTTCCGAAATAAGTTTTAACTGGGTTAGCAACACGAGGTCTAGCATTGCCATGCAGTAAAATTACATTATTGTGTATCTGCTTGCGGTCACTTTTGCTTCAGGGCTTGATTGAAGCGCATCAATTGTAGTCTATAGCTATCTCTTGGGATGGTTTCATTGTGCTGAAGAAGCTTGTAATAAACGACACCAAGCTGATCCCACTGTTACGATACGATGGAGACAACTTTTTCTTTTTTGTCGTTGAAGTAGTAGTTCACAGGTGAATCAACATAGTTTGACATCCGTTTCCTTCAATTGATATGGTACCCAATTTTATTGCTTTTGAACCATTCCTAAAGCTTTCAAACATTTAGCAACTGTTATTTGATCAATTCCCAATGATTCTCCTAATTCTTCTTGCATCTGGCATGGATCTTCACAAAGTAATGCCTACAAATCATCTTCAAACTTTTTTGGGGTGCCTGGACGGCCATCATCTCCCAGACAAAATTATTATTTTTAAAGCGTTAAAACCAGAACCATTCTCTGCATGTCCTTTCTGATAGAGCATGACTGCCGTAAGTTTCCACCAGAATTATATGCCCTTCAGATGCAGTTTTCCTTTGGAAAAAATAGTGTAGTAAAATTACCAGCAAAATCGGTTTTGTGAGTAAGAAATTTGCCATATTTGAAGAGAAATCAACATTGTATACACTTTAAAGATTTAAAATAGACTGATAACCCCAGCACAGAAGATTAGCTATTAAATAAAGTTGATTTCAGTGTTGCCATATGCATGTAGGTAAATAAAAATTCACTACATAACTAACGGAGGAAATTTATTCACACACCCAATAATAAGTGACCGAACAGTTTGTATGAATAAAACGTTGAGAAGTTATGAGTGAATATAGTTACTACAGATGTTTCATTTGATGAATATGATAATTAATTTATTTGACATATTTATTTCATTATATAGCATGAAAATGCAGCATAATTGTAGCTTTGAAAATCAATAATTATTTGATAGTGCACAAAAAATTAAGAATAATAAAAAATTAAAAGCTAAATACATAGAAATATTTGTATAGATCATAATAGAAATGATAAACACAAAGCTAAAATAAGAAATAAGTAGGAGGTTATAATTACATATCCATCACTATAATATTTCTGCTCATTGGTAGAAATGGCAATAGATCTTTCCCTCCGAAAATGTTTCTGAATATACCAAATTAATTTCCTTCAAACAAGTATCAATATCACATACAAAAAACATTCAAACTATATAAAATACCAAATAATTTAAAAGTACATAACAAGTTAAATAAGTTTTATATATATATATATATATATATATATATATATATACATAAATAATGAGGAGTCTGTGTTGTGAGCTGGTAGGGATCGGACGTGTTGTGCTCAGTGCTTGCTATAAAACTAAGTTTATTCTGTTTGGAATAGTTAGTAAAAGCCTAACGTTTTTCCTTATTTTTACATGATAGTTTTATACATTGTAAGCTACTATGTTTGAAAAGAAAGGAAAATAAAGGGATATTCACAAAGCTACAGAATAAGTGAGTGATTAATAGATACTTTGTGTCTAGCACATGGTAACAGCGCTTATTTGTTCTACATTATAAATTACTGTTCAGTTTAGTTTTGCATATGTGCTTGCCCTGTTTATTCAAGTTATTATTTTTCTTTATTTATGTACCAGTTTATTCAAGAGTTAGTTTTTTAATCTTCGGAAACAGTTTAATAGAATAAAATTTCTGATTAAAACGAGAAAAAAAAAATTGACTAATAATGATGGATAATAAAAATCTGAAAAAATATTTTTCACCAACGGGCGATAAAAGTAAGAAAAGTAAGAGTCAGGAATCTGATAATGAAGAAGAAGGAAGAAAAAGAAAATACTCAAAGCATTAAACGACTCTGCACTAATACCTTAGGTATGCCTGAAAATATTATTATAAATAGAGCTCGATTTATTGGTAATCGTAATACAAATAAGAAAATTATTTGTGCAGAATTTTCAAACGAATTCGAAATAAGAACAATATTAAGGGCATCCAAAGTATTGAAGGGTACTGGAGTTTCTATTGAAAGACACCTTACTTTCTCACAAAGGCAAATCAAAAGATAAATGCTGTATTTAAGAAAATGCCTCAAAGAAAAAAACTCAAAAATATCGATATCAGTTCAAAATAATTCCTTGTGGGTGAATAACCATAAGTTTATTTGGAAAGAAGAAAAAGGCCTCATGTTTGGTAATGAAAATGGTATAAGAAAACTAAATTAAATCACCAGCATCGACTTAACAGAAGCGATGAAGAAATTGTTGGCGGAAACAAATTCAGAAGAAGGAAGAGATATTACTACAGGTGCTGTTTCAGAAAATATTCGGAACCAAAACAAATGAAGTAGAGCCGTCTGTCAGGTCAAAACAAGTGAGATTAATTACTAGATTAATTAAGTCCTATTAAGTTGAAATTACTTTCATTCAATATTGGTGGATTGGCTAATAAACTTATTTTTGATTCTTTTTATCAATTTATCAAACAGTACGATATTATAGCTCTCTATGAGACATTCTTAGTTAAGTCTGAAACTTTAAAATTTGAAAAATATTTTAGTGATTTTAATTTAATGAGGATCGGAGCAAAAAAAACTAATAAGAAAGGCAGGGCAAGTGGTGGCCTTTTGTTAGGTATTAAAAATAATTTAATTGTAAGCAATGTGGCAAGCAAATTCATAAGATTGAATGAATGGGATTTAATTCAAGTAAATAATGTTTATGTAAAGTTTTATATTGTACCAGTTTATTTAAATTTTGGTGCTTGGGATGAGGACTTTTCAGGGTTATTGAATTTTCTTTCTAATTTAATGAAAAATACGTTCTTATAGGTGACATGAATGTGAGGTTGGCGGAGAGGCAGATTATCCCGGAAAATATATCACGGGAAAAATGTTTAATCAACTCTAATAGGAAATCTAAAGACACAACTTTAAATAGTAGAGGTCTATCGTTCTTGGAAATGTGTGATGATCTAGATTTAATAATATTAAATGGCTGTGCGGTGGGTGATCCTGATCGTGATTTCACATAAATTTCGGGGAGGGGTAGTTCTGTCATTGATATTTGTTGTGCATCTGCACCTATTCTGAAATATATAAAAAAATTTAAAGTTATTCCCAAAATTTACACACAGCATATGCCTATTGAATTGGTCTTGGACTTCAGTAATGCAAATAATGTTAGGAATTGTAAAGCACTCCAACTTAAGTGATTGCGGTGGTCACGGCAGGATGAATTGTATTTTGAATCAAAATTAGAAAATAAATTAAATTACATAAAATTAGATGAGATTAATGAATCAGATCTAAAACTGGAACTATTGTTGGAATATATTGTAGAATGTACTTTTCTTAAAAAACAGATAAATAATGGTAAAAAATTAGGAAAACAGCAGTGGTTCGACGGTGAATGCATTAAATCCCAGGATAAATCTTTTAGATTCCTAAATATCTTTAGAAAACAAAATAATGTTTATAATAAATTTCAATACTTGAGGGTAAATAATGAATACAAAGAATTAGAAAAAAACGGAATGAGTATTATAAGACTCTTAAAGAAAAATTTAAATGTATTAAAGATACTAAAGATTTGTGGTCACTAATAAACCAATTCAGGATTTCAAATTTTATGAGTGAATCTAATATTACAGGTGAGCAGTTTAGACATTACTTTCATTTATTGTTGAATCCTGTTATAAAAGCTCCTAAAATATTTTATGCCACACCAAAATGGGAAAATTTTGAGTTAGATAGGGAAATAGGTTTAGATGAATTAAAATGTGCATTGGACAAGGCAAAAAATAATAAAGCGCCAGGAATTGATTCTGTGCCATATGAATTTTTCAAAAAATCCCCAGAATGCGTATTGCAACAAATTGTTAACCTATTCAGTCATTACTTTAATAGTGGAAGAATCCCACAGAGCTTCACTAAATCAGTCATTTATCCGTTATTCAAAAAAAGAGATATCCATAACGTTGAAAATTTTAGGGGCATATCTTTCATTAATGTAATTACAAAATTATTGACTGAAATTTTATTGGGACGTTTATGGAACTGGGTGTATACAAATGACATATTGAATGATTTCCAAGCGGGTTTTCGTCCGGCGTACTCAACCGTAGACCACATATTCAGTTTGTTTAACATTGTAAAACTTTCTCTGGCAAAAGAACGTCGTAAAGTGTATGCATTTTTTATTGGTTTTAAAGCGGCATTTGATTGTATAGATAGGGAGGCTCTGTTTTTTAAGTTGCCTAATCTTGGGCTGTCTCATAAATTCTTGCATATCATAAGAAGCTTACATACAAATACTAAGGCTACCATATATCATAAAGAAGAACTAACTGACTTTTTCGAAACATCAGTAGGGTTAAGACAGGGTTGTCTACTTAGTCTTTGCTATTTTCGTTGTTCATAAACGATTTACACGAAAATTTGGAAGAGGGGCTAGAAATCGCAGGAGTAAATATTAGATGCTTATTGTATGCAGACGACGTAGTACTATTAGCCCCTTCCCCAGTTAAATTGCAGCATATGATAAACCACTTGGAGAATTACTGCCGAATGTGGAACTTGCATATAAATTTGGCCAAGTCAAAAATAATAGTTTTTCGCAATGGAGGTAGACTATCCAAATATGAGAAATGGAACTTCGGAGGAAGTCCTGTTGAAGTAGTAAATGAGTATAAATATCTGGATGTTATCATTACCCCAAGGTTGTTCTTGGGATGACACTTTGCTGAAAGAGTAAGTCATGCAAAATTTGGTCTAAATTCTACCTGGCATAATTTCATAGCAAATAAAAATTCAAGTAAATTATTCAAGTAAACTAGTGGTTTATAATTCGGTCTCTCGGGCGGTGATTAGTTATGCTGGACAGGTTTGGGGTTTCGAGCCCTATGAAGTTTTGGAAAAATTTAGAAGATACTTCGAAAAAAAATTTTCATTTGCCACATATCCTAGCAAAAGAGGTGATAACTAAGAGAGTTTATTGGTACCAAAAGTGATTAGAATTCGAGGATGGTTGTAAAACTAATCTCGATACTGCAAATATCGCTGATCTGCACGGAAAATTGACTGTTGTTAGACATAGGACTTAGAAAAACAAAATAACTTAGAAACTAACTTAGAAAATAACTTAGAAACAAAATACCACCCCAAAATAACACCCTATCTTAATGATAGCTTCGATATTGTGACTATGGGGTCAATTTTTCGATGTAGGACAGAATTGCTCGATTTAAGCGTAAAACCATGGATGGTGGGGGACGATTGCTGTCCGGTATGTAACTCTCAAGAAAAAGAGGATACAATTCACTTTTTGGGGACTTCTCACATGTACAGTGAGTTAAGAGAGAAATGTTTTGGGCAGCTGACCTGTTCTCCGGAAGAATTATTTGGTTTCTTAAAGGGTTCTAACTGGAAAGCCTTAAGCAATTATATACAGCAGGCCACATTGCAAAGATTTCAATTGGTCAGATAGTAAACTATTGATACAATATCGTATTTATTTATTGTAACGTTTGTTTAATTGTTATATTGTATTTGATGGTTATTATTATTGTTGTTGAAATTAAATTTCTTATTTATTGGATTTATAATAATATATATATTGATGTATAATTTTTTTTAAAAGTACAATAAACACATTTTCATTCATATAAATAATGAACTAGAAAATATTGACACATAAATTATTGACAAGGTCATAAATAGATTAAAATATAAATAGTTTTAAAACATAAAAACATAATTGTTAAGCACAATTATCTCTATAAATACGGTCTATCTATGTAAATATGTAATTAAATATGTGTTAAAGATATATATATATATATATATATATATATATACACACGCAACTGAAGGAAAATACACAAATTTATTGATACATAAAATTAGATCAGTGATTAAATAGGTTAATATCTTATAGATAAATAACGATAATGTATATATTCTCTTCCTCTCTCTTTTTTTTTTTTCTCTTCTTCCCTTTCCTGGTTAAATATTAAAAATAAATAAAAGAGGATCAATGATTAAAATAAATATCTATATTCCAAGTACTCGGGCCATTGCCCGCTTATCCTAGTAAACAGTCAATAAAAATATAAAAAACAAAAGCTTAGCAGTGAACTAGGATGGGGGCCAGCCTATCAGGACCTTCCTCCTAATAAAAGGCCCGCTCCTCGGAAATAAGCACCAAATTATCAGTATCCGTACAGCAAAATTCGCGGTTGGATTCAACTCAAATTTCGTGATCATACTCCACGATACAATATTACTGCCTATATAAATTTTCAAGACGATGTGACATCTATGAAAAAAGTTTTTAATAATTTGCACGGAGTCGATGTTACTTGGTCAGCGGTCCCAGCCAAAACTTTAAAAGTAAACTCCAGTAAAACAACAAAAGTGTTTTACAACACAGTTATTTCAAAATGATTTGTAGAAAAAATAATTTTTCTTATTAAGTTCATACCTTTTCTTTAGGGCACTACGAAGAGGAGTTTTTACTGAGCTATCAACTTCTGTGAACTTCCGTTTCCTTGATGATTGAGTCAATTTTTTTTCAATATCCAGGAGGGTAAAATGACCAGTTAAACCAGAGTTTGATATAGGCATTTTCATAACTGGTGAAATATGAGTAGATTGGCTGTAATCAATGTTTCAAAAAAAAAAAATTATGAAATTTTAACCTCTATACACTTGAAATAAAATTTATATGTAATGAAAATGAAAATACTAAACTTAATTAATTTTTTTTTAAATGAAAAATTATAATATAATACAATACACTTTAATTAGTATATTTAAAGTATACAACACATATTATAGATAAAATACTTATTGTACATAACATATACAATAGTTGTTTTGAAAAACAACAATCATCAATATTTATAAGAAAATATACATATAATTAAAATGAGCAAACGTAATTTTTAAAATATTTTCTTATAATATAATGTTGGTATAACTCTATTTTTATTCAAATCTTGTTGTGAATTAAAAAAATTTAATTATCTATTTTACTAATTACATTTTAATAATGCGAAATTATTTTAAAAAGTACTCGTAACCTATTTTGCTATTTTTCTTGATATTATATGATGTTATATGATCCTTCCATGAGATGGATAGATAGATAGAATGTTTATTATTAAATAAAATAAAATATGCATATTGTAAATACAGTATAAGAAATAAATACAGATTTTCTTTGTTTTTATTTTTTTATAACATGTATGATACAGACTATAGTCAGTTGGGTCACCCCATTTTACAATTAATAATAATAATTTTCTAAGTTATACACATAATGGTGATAATTATATGAACAATAACCAAGAAAGATATAACATAGGTGTAGCTACAATTTACAACCTTTGAATTTATAACATTTCTTCATAATAACTATATTCTTTGGAATAACTGTTAAAAGTAGAAAAATAACTAGACCTTGAGATAATTGCAGAAATGAACAAGTAAAGATCTCATTGAATATAGACAGTCCTGGATAAGGAAACTCTATTTAAAAGGTATACCTATGAAAAACTGTTCAAGTTCATTGTGATTAATGAAACAAGTAGAAAAATACTAACAAGTGTTGTTTTGTAGTTTTTCAACACTTCAGGAGCCATACTTTGTCTAAACCTGCTTAATTCAACATTTACAAAACAATAAATTGGCCATTTTTTGTTTGTTCGTTCTAAACGAAATGATCAATGTCTAAAACCTAATATGTACAGTTTTCAAGAAAAATTCTGTCAGATCTGTGGAGCCATACATAACCAGGAGTGAAGAGGATGAAATTAAGAACATTAAGATACTTACAAGGAACAGGATGGTACACAAGTTGAAAAGATTATCAGAATCAAGTGAGTAGAGTTCCCCTCAACCCTTTTCAATGTATGTATGTAATATGTGGATGGTCAAAAGGCGATTAGTACCTATTATCAAATAAATAAGCAACAACTAATACTTCTGATTATCACCCAGATGATATCTTAAAATCAGAATATAACAAAAAATAATAATAATGATCGGCAAGAATAATAAGGGTAAACAAAGTAAAATCAGGGTAACTAAATTGAGAAATAAAGTATTTCTCTTCAGCCAATTGTGAGTGTATAGGCTATAATAAGTATGCAAACACACCAAATAAGTCAAATGCTATCACTCCTGAACACAAAAGGAAGGAAGGAAAAATGATGATTGAAACACATTTTACAAAACATATATGTTTTTGAGAAAGTACAAACAAAGCAGTCTTCTCTCTTTCAAAGGTACAGAAATCCTGAAACGAAAATCTATAAATTTCAAAAGATGTATGATGCTATGACAAAGCCAGTTCTGATATACAAGATCTTGACACTAATTAACAGCCTAGAAATAAGAGTTGAAAGATTTGAGAGGAAAGTCGACCACACAATACTGGAGCGATCTGGGATCAGAGTAATAATGCAAGGAAGAGATGGATCTATAAAGAACTGATCAAAGAAAGTAGTCAGTATATGTTTCACAATATCAAATGATATTTAAATAAAAATAAAACAACACTGACCTAAAACATTCCTCCAATTCCAAAGCTGATGATTTTTTTTTATTTTTTGGAGGAGTAATAGAACATTCCAGACAAGTGTAAAAAGTATCATCACTCGTGTTCTGATTATCAACATTTTTATCACATGGAGTTAACTCCTCATCATCAAAATGAAATTCGTTTGTCTTATGAATGTTCTCTGATTTACATAGAATTTTAGGAGATGAATATCTTTTTGCAGGATACTCATACTCTTCACTTTCCAAATCCATAGCAGAAAAAGTTGAAGAAATCTTGCTTTCCTGTATAGAAAAAAAGAGTATTTTTAAAATTCAAATTTAAAAACTACCAAAATACAAATTTAAAAAATAGTAATACCAAGAAAAATTAGTTATGTAAAAGCCCATTCAAGGGGGAGGGGGGGGGGACAGGTCTATATTGATTTTTCATTGTTTTTCAATCAGAAAGTTATCATATCATAAAAAACACTGCCAGGATAGACTTTTATAGTGGAATTCAGCACATAGATAAAAATTAGGAAGCTAGTAAATGAAGGACAATGAAATAAGTAAGATGAACCTTATGTTTAATTCTCAATTAACACTAATATCTTTAATAATAAACTTGAACTTTCTAGTTCAGGCTAATAAAAATTAATTATTATGAATAGGATTTTTAACATATTTTATTAATATCTTAGCCTCAAAATATTTCCACCTTCTTTGAATGTAACAGTTCGTACTTCTTAATTAGAAGTATCACATCCCTAGTATAAAATTTCACTTCTCCATCGAATCCTGAGCTAACTGCATCTAATTTCTCTGAGGGTACTCCAACTCTCTAAAGCTACATTAATTAATGATGGACTATACCACGGGTTGCAGGTTTGATGTTTCCCACTTCAGCACAAGTTAATTAATTTTTGATTTTCTACAAAACACTTTTATTTTAATTACACCTTTTCCATGGAGTCATATCTTTCTTTAATCTCCAAATTATGTCAGTTTAACAGAATATTGCGGTGGTAAGATATGAGAGAGAGAGAGCTTCATTGACTTATGCAACCAATTCATAGAATAGTCTAGTCAGATAGCATAGTCATTTACAGTTTATTTCTATTTCCATTTGCATAGTACTTCTTAGTATATTTTAATTTTTTTAGGAACTTCATTTTCACAGTCCATTTCTATCTTTTGAAATAATTTCATAAATTCAAATACACCTAACAATTTTATGATTGGTTTAACAAAAGCAGTTTTTATAAAATTTATTAAATAGTGAAGTTCTAATCTATATATATATATATATATATATATATATATATATATATATATATATTAAAAAGAAATTAACATCAGATAATTTTAGATTGTCTTATATGTTCATAGTACATCAGGACTTTTTTTTACCATAGACAGTCCCTATAATATTTATACAACCTTATTTGCAGAGTAGCTTTCGTTGTCCGTGCACCATATTCATCTCAATAATTACAACACATCAAATAGGATACATTAATAAAATAATAAATTAATTAATGACATTAACAATTCATGCATTACATAATTTTTAATTGTCCTGCAACTATTATCACATCATGTGTACCTTTTTCTAATTTTATATATTTAAAAAACACAAAAGAATAGAAAATTGTTCTTGTTCTTCGTCTCATATCATCTCTGAAAGGATTTTAGCTTAAAATAAATAATTGAATACATTTTTATATCCTGAGAATAGGACTCCTCTTTGTCGGACACCATCTTACTGAGTGCTGAAGATTTACTGTCAACACCCTGTATATTATCGAAACTATTTGGCAACTAAAGTTACCCTACCTTATTTAATTCACTATTATTTAAATTTTTATAAATGGCTATTAAAAGCGAATAGTGTTGTGGGTTGTGGGCCGCTTCCTGTTTTGAATTTAGCAGCTTTTTTTTTTGTTTATTGCTATATAGATCGATTCTGAAAGTTTTAATTTTGGTCAGTAGTTTGATTTATGAATTATTTTAATATTTTCAAAATCTATTTCATGTCTACGGTTTTTAACGTGGTTTGATAAAGCGATAACTGTTTTTGAATTAGGTTTAAGGGTACTTTTGTGGTTATAAATTCTTATTTTTATATCGGTCGATGTCATACCTGTATATGATTTATCGAAATTTTTACATGAGATATCATAAATTAAATTTCTATTATTTTGGATAGATATTGGGTCCTTTGTATGGATAGATATCGAGTCAGTAAGTTTCACATAGGGTGGGTGTCTGGGTTTGAGGGCGAATTTGAAATCATCTATGTCTAATTTATTTATAGTTTTTATGTCATTGTATGCCAGTTTATAACATAAATTTAATTAAAAAATAACAATACAAAATTCAAATCCTTAACATGCATTAACAAACTGACATACAATATCATAAAAACTTAAAAAAATTAGACATAGACGATTTCAAATTCGCCCTCAAACCCAGACACCCTATACAAAACTTACTAAGACAAAGGGCCCAACATCTATTCAAAATAATAGAAATTTAATTTATGATATCCCATGTAAAAATTGTGATAAATCATATATAGGTATGACATCAACCGATGTAAAAACAAGAATTTATAACCACAAAAGTACCCTTAAACCTAATTCAAAAACAGTTACCTCTTTATCAAACCATGTTAAAAACCATAGACATGAAATAGATTTTGAAAATAAGAAAAAATACCCTTCTTTTTACAGTCTCATATATTTATGTTTAGGAGCTTTTAATCCTCTGCACTTTATTCATCTTTACAATGCTTACTCCATATTTGGATTTAAATCTTTGTATAAATTTTATCAATCATTATAGATTGGTGTCTAAATTTACAAAAAAAATTAGTTTTAGCTTTTTCATTATAGGAGAGAGAGGACCCTTGTTGTACTTAACTTTCTGGTTTGCAGTTTTAAGACAGACTGTAACTGACTATAAAAAGAATGGTGTTTCTTCTTACTTTCAATATTATTCTAAACCTTCCGAGGCGTCTGAAAAGAAGATGGCCTCGGCACCTTCTAATATAGAACTTTAATTTGAGTTCTACCAATGGGTAGTTTCTCTTCATGTTGTACATGTCATGTTACCAATGTCACATTTACTTGATGTATTTTCTATGTAATACAGTAAAATAAAAAAAAAATTATTGCACAGTCTACCTATTTAAATGTATTTTGAAAATATTAAAACACTTCATAAATCAAACTACTGATCAAAGCTAAAAATTTTAGAATCAATCTATATAGCAATAAAGAAAAAAAATGCTAAATTCAAAACAGGAAGCGGCCCAGATCCTACAAAACTATTCATATATAGCATTTCCAAGTCAATTTCAACCTTTTCCAAATCAAATTCAACCTTTTCCAAGTCAAATTAAACCTTTTCCATTTCAAATTCAACTTTATCCAAGTCAAATTCAACCTTTTCCATTTCAAATTCAACTTTCGAATTTTTGTCAATTTTCGATTTTTTTCAAATGAAGGCCACTTACTATATTATCGAAGGCATAGCTTTTGAAAAATACAAAAAAAAATTTGATAACGCGGTTGCATATCCATTTATTTTAACATTTTAGATTTTTTCAGTGTGATATTTCTATGTCATATTCAATTATTTCCAAGTCAAATTCAACCTTTTCCAAGTCAAATTCAACCTTTTCCAGATCAAATTAAACTTTTTCCAAGTCAAATTCAACCATTTCCATTTCAAATTAAACCTTTTCCAATTCAAATTCAACCGTTTTCATTTCAAATTAATGTTTTAATTTTTTGTAAATTTTATATATTTTTTTTAAATAATGGCCATCCCCTCCCTCCCTCCCTCCAATATGAAAGTCTATTATTATGCTCTCCTAAGTAGAATTTTCACTTACGGATATCGATTTATTGTACCTATTCGGATTTATTAGGGACTAGTATTATGCTGTCCTGTACCTAGTTTTGAAAATAACCTCCATTTTAAGATTACGTGACTGCGTTTCGAATTATTTAAGTTTTTTTGACTTATTCGATATAAGGGTGTATTTTTATGTTTCCCGATCAGTAAATTTTGAAAATGACATCCATTTTATGTTACGCCACTGTGTTTTGACTTATTTAAGTTTTTTGAATTTTATCCAATATGAAGGTTCTACTTTTATGTTTCCGGAGCCGTAGATTTTGAAAACGACCTCCATTTTAAGATTAGGCCACCGCGTTTCGACTTATTTGAGTTTTTCGGATTTTTTCATATGAGGGTGTATTCTTATGTTTCCGGAGCCGTAGATTTTGAAAACGACCTCCATTTTAAGATTAGGCCACCGCGTTTCGATTTCTTTGAGTTTTTCGGATTTTTTTCATATGAGGATGTATTCTTATGTTTCCGGAGCCGTAGATTTTGAAAACGACCTCCATTTTAAGATTAGGCCACCGCGTTTCGATTTCTTTGAGTTTTTCGATTTTTTTCATATGAGGATGTATTCTTATGTTTCCGGAGCCGTAGATTTTGAAAACGACCTCCATTTTAAGATTAGGCCACCGCATTTCGATTTCTTTAAGTGTTTCGAATTTTTATCATAAAAGAGTGTATTCTTATGTTTCCGGAGTCGTAGATTTTGAAAATGACCTCCATTTTAAGATTACGCCACTGCGTTTCGGCTTATTCAAGTTTTTCGAATTTATCCAATTTAAAGGTCTACTTTTATGATGCCGGAGCCTTAGTTTTTAAAACGACTTACATTTTAAGATTAGGCCACTGTGTTTCGGTTTTTTTAAGTGTTTTTGATTTTTCCTTCGAATAAAAAACAAAATACGAAGGATTAATTTATTTTTCAATAAATAAATAAAAATATCTAATCAAAATAAATAAAATATGTATTGTCTCATTTTTAATTTAATTTTAGTTATCTTTTTTAATGTTGTGGTCTCCTGTCACAAAATTATAAGATTTCGAACAATTAGCTGAAAAATCTGAATACGGAAGGTTAAATTTATTACCAGTTGCTTTTCGGCTTTTTAGTTTGTATTCTGTGGTTAATTTAACTTTAGCTTCATAATATTTATTTATTTATTCATACTCGAAAACATATTGATGAAACTTTGTATTGAAAAAATTGAAAATGAAGCCTAATTAATCGATATGCAGCGGCTTAATCATAAAATGGAGCTTAGATATTAGATAAATTTAAATATTAAAGATTAAAAAAATTTCAATACGTCTCGGATAACATATAAGTAGATCCTTATACCGAAAAAGTAAAAAAAAAAATTTATAATCCAAAACACAGTGGCATAAAC